TTCCAAATTCTTTTAAACCTCTCTGGTACTGTAGTGAAAGTACTGATAGTCGTAATACAAAGCCAAGTTAGTTGGTGAATCCTCGGAAACTTCAACACTATGGTGTCCCTTTCCCTCTTCTCTTCCGAAGTCTACATCAGGAGTTCTCAAACTTTTTAAACAGGGGACCAGTTTCACTGTGCCTCAGACCGTTGGAGGGCCGGACTGCAGGCTCCAGGATGAGTCAGCTGCTAAGCAGGACAGGCAGCGGCAGCAAAAACACCTGGCAGGCTGGATAAATGTCCGAGGCAGGCCGCCTGGTCTACTTCTTTAGGTTTTCAAGTGAGAGGTGGAAATCAGCAACCAGTAGATGTGACTCTTGAGGGACTACTTGTTTTCATCTTGGTAAGGTTGATACTCATTTACCCAAAGCATTTTGGGGTAACATTCCTTAGAACTTTCTTTGTCTCTCATCTAGGTTATTTAAGTTACCTTCTGTTGACCCAGGAAAGCTTTTCAGGTTAATCAAGTGTCAAATAGAGTCAGAATTGGGGACCAGACAGGTGGATTATCATTGTGTGAATGTGGTTTGTATCAAGTCATGGATGGATGTCTGGACCTTGATAATTGCTGTCTTAATTAAGACTTTTTCTTATTTTAGACTCTTTTCTCCTATATACAAGTTGTTTTTATTACAGTTCTTATATATTGCAGTTGTTTGGAAAGCTGATAGGTGTGAAAGAACAGAGTAACTTTGAGATTTAAAGAGATACAAGTGAGGATACAAGTAAGAGCCTAAATTTCTTTGTATTTCTTTTAAAGTCTGCTTACCAAGGCTCTGTTCTCATTGAATATTGGAACAATAGTTGCACTAAATTGGAGCCAGTATGGTTCAGTTTGTCCTTTCTCCTTTCAGAACTCACTAGGTTCTAACTGGTTTGGGAGAGTCTTGTTGCAGGGCTTGGCACTGCAGTATGAACAAACCCTCTGGGCTATAAATTTTACTGCAGATGGAAAGTTTTCCTGACTAGCAATGTTAGTTTCTACCTTTCTTCGAAGTGTAACATATACTGAGTACCTTTCTTCTCTTTGATAAGTATGTACCTGGAGGCTAATGAGTGAAGAATGCTTTCAACAAACAGAACCAAAATAAATATGTCTTTGTGCTAATTATATAGTATGTGAAGTAACATTTGAAAGTAGTTCCAAGGGTGCTTGATTGATTTCTTGAGAGAGATCTTTAGGGGGATTTTAGTTTACATTGGGTAAGAATATGGGACTGTTTTTTTTTTTTTTTTTTTTTTTTTTCTGTCCTAGGTAGAGTGCCACGAAGCTCAAAATCTTGGGCTCAAGAGATCCTCTTGCTTCAGTTTTTCTATTTTTAGTAGAAATGGGGTCTCAGTTTTACTCAGCTGGTCTTGAACTGAGCTCAAGTGACCCACCCACCTCGGCCACCACCTTGGCCTTTGTATTTTTGAGGGATTAGGTTTCTCTGTTTGCTATTTGTTTTGTCTCTTTGGTATTTCAGTAGAGTGGTCTTTTAAGCATGGCTTGCTAAGGTTGGTTTGTAAGCATTCAAAATCATGATACATTTATGTTAGTCAAAGAGTGTATGTTTTCTTCCTTGACAGCTACCAGATAATAGATCCATCAATTTTTCCATATTAAAGTTAAGCCAGGCTCGGCGCCTGTGGCTCAAGCGGCTAAGGCACCAGGCACATACACCTGAGGTGGCGGGTTCGAATCCAGCCTGGGCCCGCCAAACAACAATGATGGCTGCAACCAAAAAATGGCCAGGCGTTGTGGCGGGGGGGGTGTAGTCCCAGCTACTTGGGAGGCTGAGACAGGAGACTCGCTTGAGCCCA